AAGTAACAATGAAAAGCAAAGCTAAAATATATGAACATGGAAAATCACACTGAAGACTTAAATTAAAACAACAAAAAAATATATATAAAATATATAAAATAAATATAAAAATATATGAATAAAAACCACAATAGCTACTATATATTAGGGGTGTACTAGATCATAATCCACAGTTCGGAACGCACATGACCCGCAGATTAATAACTTTATTGATTTTGTAGGTTAATTCAACATTTTAAACAATTGCAGAGACATCGCCTTCCACGTCATTCAAATCATTGTATGAAGGCATTTTGACTTCCCTGTAAAATATAATGATGACTGAAAAAGTTATAGTGGGACCTACCTAAATGCTTTCTTAGGTTATTAATTAAAAGTGTTTTCTGTCACTGTCTGTTTAGCCTGCATTTATGCATTCAGTGTAAAGCTGCACAATTAAACATTAAAAGATCATGATCTCAATTCAAACCTGCGCAATATGAATGCTGAATGAAAATGTTTTGCATACGTTTTTAAATTCTTCGAAGCATTCAAATCTGCGTTTGATCGAGAGAGATTCAGTTTGTTTAGACAGTTACAAACAATTAAATTACACAGAAGTACTGGGAGAACAGTTTATAGTTCAGATATAAACACTGATGTTTATGGTAAAGATTAAAATCACTGTTTAATGAAATTTGACGCTGGTGAATGTTGTAGCAATTACATTGTGTTACCAATAGGTGGCGACAAACAGCTATCAAAATCATGTCACTGAATATGTTTTCAAACATGATCATCCTATAATGAAACGTGTAGTTTTATGATTGAATAGTTGAATTATTAATTGATAATAAATATGATCTGTATAATATTCCTATTGAATATTTTCCTTTTATTCAGCTGGTTCTTTCTTGTTTTTATTTCTATTAAAATTATAGGTTTTAAGTTCTGTTTGTTTAAACCAATGGTTTTTTTGCTGATCCAAAAAATGGTCCGATCCGTGACTCAAAAACCGTAGTGTGATCCAAACCGTGAGATTTGTGACTCCATACACCACTAATATATATATATATATATATATATATATATATATATATATATATATATATATATATATATATATGTATATATGGCTGGGTCAGTTGGCGTTTCTGTGCGGAGTTTGCACGTTCTCCCTGCGTTTGTGTGTGTTTCCTCTGGGTGCTCCGGTTTCCCCCACAGTCAGAAGACATGCGGTACAGGTAAATTGAGTTGGCTAAATTGTCCGTAGTGTGTGAATGTGTGTATGTATGAGTGTTTGTGATGTTTCCAGATATGGGTTGTGACTGGAAGGGCATCCGCTGCGTAAAAACTTGCTGGAAAAGTTGGCCGTTCATTCCGCTGTGGCGACCCTGGATTAATAAAGGGTCTAAGCTAAAAAGAAAATGAATGAATGAATGAATGTATGTGTGTGTGTGTGTTTGTGTGTGTGAGTATAAAATAATAAAAATAAATATAATAGCTTCTCAATTATAGTAAAATATTTATTATTATAGTTATTATAAATATATTATATATAGTATATAGTTTTATATATATACTGTGTGTAGTCAACATTTCAATATTTAGTTGTCCTGAAACACCCACTCTTGTTCTTGGACATTTCTGAAAAACATTTTTGAATCACCTTGAATAATAATAATAATAATAATAATAATAATAATAATAATAATAATAAGTATTATTATTAATATTATTGTTATTTATATTATTAACAAAAAATGTTTTCCTAAAAAGACCTTATGAAGTGTTTTATAATATTTGCATCATGTGAAAATATTTAAATTAATTAATTAATTAAATAATATTTTTATGACAAAAGTCATTTTATATTATGTAATTTTATATTACGTTTAAAAAGGGAAAAAAAACATTGATTGAAAGTACTTTGACATGTCTATGAAACAGATCTGCAGATCATCATAAAAGCAAGGACAAACAACATATACCGGAGAGCTTGTTTTTTTGCGCGTCAGATGTACGTCAGATGCCACAGCTGTGATAAAACAGTTATCGGCTTTTACAGTGCAGAACATTTCAGTGCGGGGGGGAGTTGCGACTTCTTACCGCTTTTAATAATAGTGAGGGTCGTCCTTGGGTATTCTTGAAAAAGGAGAGGGCAGAGGAGATCCCAAAGAAAGCCCAACACCCTCGCTAACTAACTAACTAACCAAGCCTCTGGCTTTCTCTCTCTGCAGGTTATATTTAGCTGTGCTTCAGGGCTGTCCACCTCTTGCTCTGCTGCAGCTCTGGCCTTACAAGGTCCAAGCATGAGTACAGTTGCTTAGCAGCCCGCTGTGTTTTCAGCTCCAGCAGTGAGAGACAGGAGCCGCTCTTCATCATCATCATCATCGTCATCTTCATCAAGAGTGTGATGATCCTGGTGGTACATACAATACATGTTAAATACACATTAAAATAATTGCAGGTTTGGATTTTTATATTTAGTGTGGTCATTTTACACAGTTAACTACTGAAATAATAATAATGTTGATTGAAATATATTATTTCAGTAATAATATAATTGACTTGCTGTACTAAAATAATTCTAAAATGAAAACAAATGAATTAAAAGCACACAGATTTTTCTTTAATAAAACTGTATGTACATGCATTATATATGTAAATATATTTGCATAATTACTATTACGAAATTACAACATATCTACAATATAGGAAAAAAATAAAAATGAGAAAATTATAAGCTTGTCCAGGCTAAAAACTACAACGTGATTTAATTAAATTTAATTACATTTGTTTTATTAAAAGTTTATTTATTTGATAAAGTTAATGATAATAATAATAATAATAATAATAATAATGAAACCAACAAAATTTAATCTATTTAAAATCCATAACTAATAAATACAGTAAGTAAGTCAATCAATTATATGCAGAGGGGGTTAGGGATACCCCCAAGCTTCAGTGGACCTCTACATTTGATCGGGGCAGTTGCAGCTACCTCTTTCATCTGTCGTGGGGGTGTTTAAGGTTGCAAGATGTATTCATAATAAAATTCTAATGATCACCTGGTAGATCAAGCTCAGGGCTTGATTCAAGATCAGGGTGGAAGTGGGGAGTCAACGCAGCCATTGAACAGGCAAAAAGCTCACTGAAGTTGCATGACGTTGGTAACATTTCAATAACTGTATATATCAATTTAGATGAATCTTCTGGAGAACAAAATTGCTTAATAAGTAAAAAATCTTTTGTTGTAATCATTCAATCATTCGTTTTCTTTTAGGCTTGGTCCCTTATTAATCTGGGGTCGCCACAGCAGAATGAACCGCCAACTTATCCAGCATATATTTTAGGCAGAGGATGCCCTTCAAGCCGCAACCAATCACTGGGAAACTTTGGACTGTGGTGGAAACTGCAGCACCCGGAGAAAACCCACGTGAACACAGGGAGAACGTGCAAACTCAGAAATGCCAACTGACCCAGCTGGGGCTCGAACCAGCGTCCTTCTTGCTGTGAGGTGAACGTGCTACCCACTGCGCCACCGCTTTGCCATGATGTAATTACTTAAAACTAATTTGCAATTCATTTAATTAATCACAACATTATTTAATCAGTTTCATTTTAAATTTCTACCACTCGAAATTATTCCCAAAATAACACTGTTAATTTTCTCATTTGAGGATTGCAGTGATACTTAGCTTTAGCAGTTCTAATACTTTAAGAATGAAAGTTTAACAAGATAAACTTTGGGCCAAAATTCTGTGTTTTTAAGTAATGTATTGAATGCAGTATATTGTTCTTTAAACCAGCGGTTCCCAACAGGGGGGTCCCAGCCCACAGGGGGGCCTCTGTGGTTTAAAAAACATTTTTAGCAGTGGACAATTAGGAGAACGATCACCTTTCCTTAGTTCATTTTATCCCCTGGCTTACCAAAAAATTGACAAATTTGTAATTCGTCCTTTACAAAAAACAACAGTCTTTACTTCGCCTTCAGCAGCTAATAGCCATGACCCAAGCATACTGGACCCACGTGAGGAAGCTCCAAACATTTCAGGTCACAGCACTAGCAATACTGGAAACAAAACACACGAAAAAACGAAAACCACTAAAAAACTGGAAACGAAACACGAAAAAAAGATAGTTACATGAACTGTTTTATTCCATTTTCTCAAAGCAAAGAGTCCCTGACCCAGCCACAGTGCACTAACGAATGCATGAGGCCGTCCAAATTAATAAGACATTTGCAGATGACTCATCCCCAATTCCTCAAGGTGTACCCAGTACAAATGGCCTACTGATGTTTTGCTTTTATATTTTACATTAGGCTATTATTTGTGCATAAACGTATGTAGATAAAGTAATAAACATACTGATTGTTTGAAAACAACCTTTTTTTATAATACCTACTGCAAACTTATATAAGCGATAATATCATTAAATGTGGAGGGGGGTCTTACAATATTTTCCAGGGGAAAAGGCAAAAAAGGTTGGGAACCACTGAAGTAAACAATAATTTAACTCACATTTCAATAATTGTTTCATATTCACCAAATTCTTTGTTGAAGGGACAGTTCACCCAAAAATGAACATTTAGTCACTCTCCCTCTATTGGTTCCGAACCTTTATAAAAAAAAAATTTTCTTCTGTTGAACATAGAAGATCATTTAAAGAATGTTGAAAACCAGTAATCATCGACTATCATGATACCATAGGTAACATAGTACTACCATAGGGGGAAAACATACAATGGAAGTCAGTGTTCACTTTAACACCTCTGTCAGTTGTTGACATAACACAGTCCAGCTGAGATCCAAACATAAAAGAACTTGGACAATATTGGCAATTATAAGGTTTTGTCTTTTCTGAGTGTGTTTGAAGTGCTGGAGTATAAGTTAAAGTGTTTGCATTACATATTGCAAAATGATATGGGTCAGTTGGCATTTTAGTGTGGAGTTTGCATATTCTCCCTGTGTTTGCATGGGTTTTCTCTGGGTCCTCCGTGTTCCCCCACAGTCCACAGACATGCACTATAGGTGAATTGAATAAACTAAATTGGCCTTAGTGTATGTGTGTGTACGGTTGTTTCCCAGTAAAGGGTTGGAGCTGGAAGGGCATCTGCTGTGTAAAACATATCCTGGATAAGCTGGCGGTTCATTCCACTGTGGTGAACCCTGATGAATAATGGAACTAAGCCAAAGGAAATTAAATGAATGAAAATGATATGGGGATCACATTTTCTAAATAAAAACTGTATTAAAAATGAACTTTTATTTTATCATTATTAATAATAATAATGTAAATAAGTTACAGAATAAGAATATGTAAATAGCTCAATTATACAGATATTCTGAAGTGATTTGTGCACATTCTCTCCATCTGTTTAAACTTTAATCTGGCAGTCTATGTACTATTGTTTATATGAAGAAAAAAATCCAGTTTTCAGTTGAAGACAAAATGATTAGCCCTCCTGTGTAATTGAAATTATTTATTAATTATTCCCCTAGTGATGTTTAACAGAGCAGGGACATTTAAACAGAAAGGACATTTTTCTAAATATTTCCTATTATATTTTTATTACGGTTTTGTTTCTTTTTGTTTGGTTGGAATAAAACCTTTTTATAAGTTGTTTTTCCCGAATTGACTCCAGATCAAATCATTGTTGTCTGATTATTAGTCTACCTACACTCAAGAAAAAAAATTCTGCTTGTTCAAGCTACTTATTTAAAATAAGATGAATCAACACAACTCTGGAAATTTTTTTAGGAAACCTAAATTTTTACGTTCAATCCATTTAAATTTGTTAAGTTAACTGTTATGTGTTGGGAAAACATAAATGAATTGTGTGGAACTCGGCATGTTTTACAGTTTGATTAATCAAGTTAAGCCTCTAAATCGCACTTTAAGCTGACTACTAGTATCTTGCAAAATGACTAGTAAAATATAATATACTGTCATCATGGCAAAGACAAAAAAATTGTTATTAGAAATGAGTTATTAAAATAATTATGTTTTAATACGGTAAAATTTTATATGAGGGCTAAAAATGTTGTCTTCGACTGTATGTATATTTGGTTGGTTTATGAGCAGCTGCAGCAGGTGTACACAGCGCTGTGTGGGATCAGCTTTGAGGAGAACAGCCTACATTCTACACGAGTATAGGAGTACAGTTTGGGAATCTAATAATAAATCAGAAGGTGCAGTTGTCCACTATAGAGTTACAGTATTTGTTCCCATACAATTAGTTTGGGATTTAGGGTTACTATGGAACAAACAAACAGCTAAATGTGGGAGGATCACTCTGTGTTTATGAAAAGCATCTGCCCTTGCTACATGCGCACGTGGACTCACTTTACTGTCCTGCTCATGTTTTTATTGTTCTTCCGTTCTTGAGGGTTGTACTTTCTGAAATGCTGTATTTCACACATGACGTTCTCACATTCGCGCACAAGTGGTTTATTGGCTCCAGTCGCAGCAGAGACGCACATGCCCAGTGCCCGAATGATTGCCCTAATCAGCGTCTTAAATCAGTGCTCATTATAACTCATCAGCAGCTGTTACAATGACGGCTCAGTGTGTTACTGAAGGCTAAAACTAATGGCCTCAGTTCAGTCAATGAAATATTCTGGGTTTAATACAAGTTAGTGGGATAATGTTGATGGCCTCAAACATTTCATTTGACCATTTCTATGAAAACAAATTAAAGAATAAGTAAATGTAAAGCGTTTCAAAGAATAAAATCCTTGTATTAATAAGGATGAACATTTTAATATAACCTTTAATGATCCTTAAATAAAGAGTTGTAATATGCTATTAACTTATTTTTTTCTGAATATATCTGGCTGGATTATTTGCATTGTACTCTGTATAATACGGTGTCTGAGAGAGTTTAACATGCTGCATTTTAAGAAAACGTACAATTACAAACAACGGCAGCAAATTGAGTAAAGAAGTTCATCAGTTTGACGGCCCACATGCTGCAAATCCTCACAACACGAACATATTTATAAAAAACGTGCTGCATTTTCTCACAACACACACACACACACAAATGTGCTGCATTTCCCATAAAGCAAACAATTAATGGAACACGCTGCATTTTCTCACAGCGCAAACAAAGTAGTAAAACGTGCTGATTTTCTCACAACGCAAACAAAGTCAAACGCGCTGCACAATGCAAACAAATTAATAAAACACAATTTACAAAAACACGCTAAATTTTCTCACAACACAAACAATTTACAAAAATGCTGCATTGTCCACAATGCAAAGAAATTTATAAAGCGAGCTGCATTTTCACACAACGCAAACAAAATAATAAAGCGCACTGCATTTTCCCATAATGCAATTTACAAAAACGCTGCATTTTCGCACAGCACTATTCATGAAAACGCACTGTATTTTCCACAACTGCAAACAAATAAATAAAAGTGCTGCATTTTCCCACAACGCTAACAATTTACAAAAACACGCTGCATTTTCTTACAACACAAATAATTTACGATAACGCGCTGCATTGTC